ATTAATAGGGGAATTTAAAGTAATGTAATTACTTTTAAATTCATGTAATGGCATGTAATGTCATGTAGCAGAATGTAATTACCTTAAAAGGATTTACTTTTTTCTGCTGTCTTTTCTTTCTTCCAGCACACCTGACCCATAGACAGGCACATAAAAGAAACAGCAGAACTGCTGAAGAAACAGCAATAGCAGGAATGATAGTGGCCCAGTCTAAGTCGGCTTTAGTAGGTGGTACTGTAGGCACTGCAGTCTGCGTCTTTTTAATTACATAAGGTCGTAACGTGACCTGAAAAAAATATATAGTTTTAAGGTAGACACACTGACCCGATGGTTATAGCACGACTAACCAGATGGAAAGACCCGAGTTCGAGTATAGGCGACTATCATATTTTTGTGGTCTTTGATCAGACATTTAACTCTTACAGTGACAGAAAGGAGTACATACGAGTATCAACAAATTGTTAAGGAAAATTCTGAGGGTACCGTGCATGCAATTGTATCCCGTTCAATTCGGGAAGCAATATTGCTAGTCGCGTCATGCTACAGAATCCTGCAGCTTTATGAGTCAGTTTCTCGCCGTGACTTTTCATAGTACTCAATATTGGGTTCATAACGCTATGATGGTTAGAAAACACAAGATAGAGCTCAAGTTACCGTTGGAAAAAAAATACAAACAAACGAGGAAAAGAAATAAACACATAAAGAAATAAATAAGACGTGTACCCCATATTCCAGAGTGGAAACCATCTCAGCTTCGCTTAGTCTGTTCATTGTCTCCACAACACTTTCCGCAGATAACATAGTGGGGCCATTGAAAACTCGGTATTCTATGTCGACGAGTTCCTCTCCTACAATTGCTTCCGCTCTTCTAATGGTTTCCACCTGCAGCAAAAAAGCATACAAAACATTATCAATCTCCGGTTTTGGCTATTGCCATCTGAGTAAGGTTGAAGTGTAGAAGTGCAAGAAATAAAACAACAGAAGATTTAAAGAAGAAACTATGCTTCTTACCAATACAGTAATGTTATCAACTTCTCTCCTAAACCGTTTTCCTCGTTCATTGTCCAATTGAAACGAATTCCCTCTCTTTCTCAACTGAAAATCAGTTCTGGCGTTAAAGTGAACACGACGAGGCTTGTCAAAGTGTTGCAGGTCCCTCCTTTTTCGCTGACTTCCTTTACGCTGACCCCACCTGAAAGCCTCTGCAAGTCGTGATTCGATTTTCTCGCGGAAGGAGTCAACATTTTCATCCTCGTTCTTTGGAACAAGTATCTGAATACCAACAAGCCCTTCAGTATCATTGGCATTGGCAGTAGGGCGAACAGGTTCAGTGGGCAACTCTGTGGTTGAACTTGCGGAAATCAAAACAGTTTTTGAGGGTGAATAGCTTCCGTCTGGTGTAATTGATGTTTTCTTCTGTATGGTACTCTTCAAAAGTCCAGCCGTTGACAGTGCTGGTGTTTTTAAACTTGAGGAAAGCGAACTTGCCGGGGTCTCTGTCACTAAAGTGGCTTTCGCATTCTTTTCAGAGGTGATTAAACTCTTCGTTGTCGTAGTTTCCATCTTCGTGATTAACGTTGTGATTCTCCTTGTTGTGGCGATCTTAAGAGAGGATGCTCCCTGAATTGGAGATGAAAGGTCCGAGAAGGAGCCGTGGGGAAGCGAGGTGGCAATGGAAGATTTCTTTGAAGTGCTTGTGTCCCTCATAGGGGAAGACATCGAACCTCTTAGAGACATTGGCGGCAACGTCTCCAAACTACTATCCGTCGCGGTTAATGAAGCTGAGCCGAGTGTTACACGTCTTGAAGTAATGAAAGTCTCGGTCGATGACAAAACTTCAGCACTTGTGAACAATACCTGCTTACTGACACTACTTGTAGTCATAGGAGATAAAGTGATGAAGTCCTTTTCTGAAGACACTTTGATAGTAGTAGCAGGGGAATGATAAGATGTAGCCTGAACTGAAATAAAACTGCTCTTTGAGGTTAACAAGGAATTCACAGAGTGACGAACCATAGTATCAATGAGGCTTGATTCTACGACATCTGTGGTCACCGCCAAGCTGAGAGAGCGTGTCCCGGGAATCGCAGTGGAGATGGACGATTCTGTTGTTAAAACTGAACCTAAATAGGTAGAAGATAAGACGTATTTACTCTCAGTCGTTGTCTTGGTTTGCAGTTGTGCGGTTGACGTTGTTAACCCGTAGCTACTGCTTGGCTGAATAAGCAGCGTGGATGTCGGTACGACAACAGAAGCATCTGAAGTTAAATAGGTGGCTAATAAAGTCACCGTGGACCGAATGGATTTAAAACCGAGCGAGTCACTAAACATCGATGTGACAACCGTTGTGAACTGTTTTTCCGTTGTGCTAGTTTTCAACAAGGTCTCGGGTGTGGATTTCGAAACAGCATACGTTACTGCTGGTGTCACAGACGATAGATCTCGCGTGACAGTTTGTGTACCATTTAGTGAGGTCATTGATTTAGCACTACTAATTGGAAGTGTCGTGATTGTTGAACTTCTCGAAGGAGACAATAAGCTTCCTTGTGCTAAGTGACTGGAGAGGCTAAAGCTGCCTTGTGTGACTTCTGTTGTTAAGTTCACACGGGTCACTGTTGGCACCGTTGACACTTGCGAGACACCGCGTGTTGTGGAAACATTTACCATCGATGGGCTTGAACTCATGTCATGTGAAGAGGTAGTACTACCTTCGATACTTCTGTTTGAAGTGATGAATGCAGTATTATATGCGCTTGAAGTTAAAGACTTTAAGAAACGAGTTGTGTTGACCAACAACGATATAGATGTTGACACTCGAACGACTGTGGTATCAGCCTCCGCTGACGAGAACAGAAGTGTCCCAACGCTTGAGCTGTGGATCTCACTTGAATATGACGGTGGGGTAACGTGTGCTGTGCCTGATTCAATGGCTGATGCATTTGATGTGGGTAATGGTAAGCTGTATAGTATACTTTTAGTTTGACTTGCTCCCATCACAGAAGAAGGAGAGGTTGAATGACGGGGAAAGCTAGTGGTGCTGAGTGCAGTTGACGACATTTTACTCGAAGCTATAGCAAGTGTCTCAACGTGACTGGAATTTATACGCAATCTCGTGGATGATGACGCTAGAAGGGACATTTTCGAGGAGGTTACAGCAATGGTTGTTAGTCTGCTGCTAGATATTATCGCCGAAGACTTGGGCAATGTGGTCTCACTAGCATTTCCCACTGAATAGCTGGAAGTAAATATTCTGGTGAGGAACACTGATGACTGAGAGCTGCTTTCTGAGTGATTTGACATAGCAACTTGTGACAAGGTTGTTACTTGTGCGTCCGTAGTTGCTAGAGTCGAAGAAAGAAATGATATGTTTTGGCTGATTGCAGACTGCGTGGGTAAACTTGCTTTCGGCGACAACGATTTGGTCATCATTACCACTGTTGAATTGACGCTCACCGTAATAGACAAGGACGGAGATATCATTGATCCAAACACCGTTGTATTCGACATCACTGCAGTAGACGAGGGGGACGGAGAAATTATGCCCAATGTTATCGAACTGTCATTGAAACTCATACTCTTGAAAGCAGAGGCTCCTTGCGTCAATGAAACCGTCGTAAAAGCTGGAATTACAGAGCTTGCTGTTTCAGTAGAGCTCGTTACAGCTGAAGTTCTTGTTCTATTCACGGGGGAGGTTGTAAATGAGTTGGACTGGGCACTAGCATTTACCCTAATGAGCGACAGAACACTAAACGTGGATGAAGTCACAGTTGGACTTGACGTGATACTTGATGATGATGGAAAAATCGAATCTGTAGAGTTTTGGTTAACTGTATCGACGCTTGACAAATAGGGCGTCTCGCGAAAGCTGGAACTTTCCGACTGAAACGAAATTGAGGTAGTGGTAAACAAAGTTTTGTTCAATATGACCGAAGATGAAGAGATAATTGTCAGTTCTTTTGAATAGTTTGAAGTCGAACTTCCATCAAATGAGACTGACCAAGGAAGACTTGTGGTCGAAGAAGAGATGTAGGTTGCTGGCAACAATAGGCTTGTGACACCGAAGAAGGTACTAGTTTCATAAGTCGTACTTGGTAGGATGTCTGTTGATGTTACCAAGTAAGACTGTAAAGGTGTCGTGTAAACCTTCGATGTGGAGTTTACAGTTGAATGTGGGCTTGACTCAAAGGTTGATTTAGCACTTGATTCTCTCGCCACCGAAGTGAAATTTATTGATTTTAAAGACGTTGATAGCGTTGACATCATCACCATGGTTGAAAACGACGAGGTTGAAGGAGGATAAAAGATGGCAGGTTCCTCTACAACCTTGAGATAACAAAAATGAAAAGAAATGTTAAAAAAATCTTACATTTACGAGCAATGCATGCAGATGTATTTTAACATTTCATTAACAATCGGTGAGCAAACGTCAAATGTCGCCGCTAGATCTAAAAACTGAATATGAGGGAGTTTCATGATACGATAATCACTGACAAGGATGTAAATCACAGAGCAAACAACACAATATATATTTGACAGACTCACACCGACCAAACTTGTGTACAGAAAACAAAAGCAGTATAACTGAGCACGATTTTTCTTGTATGGTTATCTTTCCTTACAATACATGTTGTAGACACTTTTCTGATTAAAATTGATAAGAGCTTGGTTCTTGAACATTTGCGCACCTATCGGATATTGTAGGGAGGAGAAGTATGTAGGGCAAATGCGAATCACCCTACCAATCGTGTTCCTTTAAGAGACAAAAAACTAAATCGGGGTGTGCTAGAAGAAAATACCTCAAATCCAACGGCTTCCCCCAGTCTCAAACCTGCTCGAAGCATAGTTTGAATAACGTTGTAAGCAAGAACTGGCTCACTGGCACTGGCACCGGCACCGGCACTGGCACTTACATTGACAACTTTAAAAGTTACATTCACTTTAGTGTCATTTGGTTCTCTCGCGATACTGATGATCTTCAAGAAGAAACGATAAAGAGTAAAGGAAACAATCTTAGTATAAAAGATATGTGTACTAGCCCAATCTCGTAGTTTCGTGTAGTCTATTAAGAATTACTCAACAGAATACACTGTTAACACAATTATTTTAGTCAAATCTGTTTGCTGTTGTTTGTAAAGAATGTACCCTAACATATGGATGGATATCAAGCTGAGGTTTTAGCACAAAACGCAACAGACACGCAAAAGAAAGACGGAAACAAATTCAATTCTCAAAAAAATAAAACAATTAAAAAGAAAGAAAAATTGAAGTTTATTAATTTTTGAGAATACTTCCCAAATGCAGAGACGGTTCCCACATCTCCTTTTATATCCAAGAAAAAAATCACCGGAGAGAGGTGACGAAAAAGACAAAAAAATTATTTGAAGGCAATGCGGAATACCTTTATCTAAGTTTTTCATGACTGGAGAAGTGCCTATGTTCAAAGAAGGTTCCTTTTTCAAACAAGAGAACAAAGAACTCGTATTTTATGTTCTAGGGCCTCCAAACACCAAATCCTATTCCATTCATACACCTACCTCTATTGTAATGTTTCCTGATGTTCCATCGGAAGAGCCGTTCTCGTATGTTGCAAGAATTCCTGTCTTCATTTGCGCCTTAAAGGAATCATTGTTTATGTTTGTACTCAGAGATACGTTCACAGCAAAACGCACAAAGACGCCTGACGGTATCGTAATGACGGAACTGGAAACAAATTGTTCTGTGGGCGAAGGCTTTATTAGAGTCGAGGTTTCTGTGTCGCTTGCAGAGAAAATCGAGATATTGCTCGAAATATTTAGTTGGCTTGAGGCTGTGGTTGCCACGTCTAATGACGCCATTGTTAGTGTTAGCGAGTTTTGCATGCTCCGTGAAGTAAAAGTTAAATTCTGCGAAGTTTCTAGTCTAGAGGAGGCATGCGTCAACGAAGTGCTTTGGCCTGTAAGTGATGATTCTAATACATGTGGACTAGTGGTTATCACTAAAAATTCGCTTGAAAGATTTCCTTTAGAGGAAGGCGTCGCTGACACATTCATAGATGTCACTGCTGTATACTTTGAAGTTTGTGACGAAGCTAAACGTGTAGTTTGTGTCGGTGGTACACTTTGGAAAGAGACACTGAGTGCTGGAGTTGCTCTCGATTTCTCTACAGAACTCTTGGTAGTATTAACAGGCCTTCCCTCGCTTGAAAGACTTGAAATTGTTGTTTTGGAGGCTGAGGACAGCGCCGTAAAGCTTGTGACAAGAAAATTACTAAATGTCTGGACTTGTGAGGATCTTACTGATGTATTAACAAGCGTCAACCGCTCAGTTTGTGACGTTTCTAGACTTCTTATTTGTGTCAGTGACTTGTTAGGTTCTGTAGTAACTTGTGAGGGTGCAGATGGTAACACAGAATAACTTGTCTGAATAACTGAAACTTCGCTCAGTGATTGGATTCGAGAGGCAGATATTTCTGACATATTGAGAGTTACCTCTGTTGTTAAAACTTGCAGGCTGCGCGAGGCCTCCAAACTCGAGATTTGCGACAACAACCCACTCTGCTGCAGACTGAATGATGCGGACACAGTTAGCCCTGTACTTTTACTCGATGTGTACTCGAGAACTGTGTTTGATAAATTAAGGTAAGTTGAAAGTATTAATGATGCATTAGTAGATGATGTTGATGTTTCTGATGGCTCCTGAGGCGAGAATGTTTTCAAGCTCTTTGTTTGCGACAGATGCTCGCTTACTTGTTGCGTGGATGACATAATCACTGTCGAACTTATCGTCACCATAAGAAGGTCACTCGAAAAATGACTGTGAAGTGATGGATTCATCGTGGAACTAACCAAAGCCATCTTTGTGTACAATGAGACTGTTTGCGTTGAATATGGCGTTGGCTGCAGTTTTGAATTCGAGGCAAGCTTCCCGGAGGTTTTTAAGGCAGTTTCTAAGCTGGAAGTAATACGTTCGGTAGCTGATGATATTAGGGCGGAAAATAACGATGAGTTTTGCGTTTTTAAAGATGCCATTGGCGTTTTTGATGAAGACGGAAGAGCCAGTTCAGAGCCCCTTGATGAATTGACAGATGTCGATTTGGAGACTGCAACCAAGGAAGAGGAAGATCCTGTTTAAAGGAATTGGTATAAGGCTCTACATCAATGTAATCGAATTGTGTTTTTCCAATTTTTCTTTCTAATATGTTACACGATTAATAAAGGGTAAGGGCTTTATGCAATTGTACTAAGTGGCTAGTGCATTAACAAATTTCACCAGGAGTACAGTTGAGAATGCCTGGCCTTTTCAAAGGCATCTCTACCGATGTAATCGGGATCGTTACAGACAGTTAAAATGGAATAAACACTGTGTATGACGTCACATATAAAAAAGGAGGAGACTATACCTGGAGGGGGAAACGAACTTGCTGGAGTAGAATTTCCAAATGGAAGAGTTGCTGTTGATAGACGCGCGTGTGAAGTAGACAGCGTTCTGGTCGTAAAGCCTATGAGATTTAAAGAACGAAACAAATGTTATCCCATATCACCAAAAGTTGGCAAGAACGACTAACAATACTTATTTCAAGCAAATTCTTACCTAGCATCCTTACCTGTGACGGACGTACACAACAAGTAGGATTTTTAAATTTACGTCGTTTTAACGAATTCATCGTATTGGTGAAGGGCCGAAAACAGTTTCAATCTATAAGAATTACGTCGTCTTAACGAATTCATCGTATTGGTGAAGGGCCGAAAAACAGTTTCAATCTATAAGAATTCCTTCATTATGCCAACATTGAACAATCTATGTAGAACGTACAGGCTCCCTGTTTTTCTTAATTTTCTATTTTATTGAACAATTTCAAATAGTTTTAAAATAATCGAAAAGATAGTTTATGATCAAGTTTTTTTATGAATTGCGTTTTTCTAATTTTTTGATTCCCATCATTTTCTTTTCCATAGGCGACTGAACGTTTCATCATCTAGTCTCTATTGCATGTCAGTAGATACTGTATTTTGTGGGTATTTACTTCAAGGTTATGAAACTTACTTGATATTACATGTAAATAAGACGAACTCTCATGCACTGAAACCGATTGGTTTGTGGTCCTTGACGAGGTCTCTGCTATGGTGACCAATGTTACCTCTTGCTTCTTGCTAGAAGTTTGCTTTACGTTTGAACTGGAAGACGGAGAAGAATCAAGGAGAGAGGACAGATTTTGAGATATCAGTTCGGAAACAACAGAATCTGACTTTGAAAAAGAAACAGTTACCGAAAGTGGTAGAGTTGGAAGGATCTCTGAAGATAATTCTACTACTGAGAACGACGTCCTTATTATTGACAACTCGCTCGAGTTTCCGCTAAGTGACTTTGATCCGATCATTGAGGAGGTTTTGTTTGAAAAGAGTTCCGTTGGAGATAATGAAGATTCAATTAAAGTCACTGTGTGAATTTCATTTGATACGGGAAAAGCAGGTGATGTTCTAAGTGACGCAGTTGCGGAGTCAGCATATAGTGAGGTAGCATTTTCCAAATGTTTTGACGTGGAATGAAGTAAATCCTGACTAGGGTACGATCTGGATGGGTCATAAGATACAGAAATCGTTCGACTATCAGTTGTGTTGGTTGAATTAGCAACAGAACCAAGAGAGGGCGAAATCTGCGTCGAAATTGTTCTCAAGGTAGTACTTTGAAGCAATGATGGTAAGTCAGTCCTGTCACCAGAAGACGAAAGGAAGGGTGTCTCGGTTTTAAATTCGGACGACGTTGTAGTTCTGTCCACGAATGAATTGTTACCTGAAACAGAATTTGACCCTCTCACGGAATGGTTGGCTGAAGATTCACCAACGGATTGTGTCGACAATGAATGAGCGGTGCTGACTTTATTCAAAGAGCTTGGCGACCGTCGAAGGGAAGTCAAAGTGGGGAGCGAAGTCAAGCTATCTGTTTGTAATCGTGTTTTTGTGGCTGGTGCGAACGGTGTCGACTGCAACATGGTCGTGGAACCTACGCTTAAGTCTTGAGTAGCAAATGTACTCTTGTTTGTAGTTACGGAAATCGAGGGTTCGATATACTCAGACGGTGACGTCAAAACAGAACTAATCCTTTTAGAAGACACAAGCGATGCAACAGTGGAGACATGAGAAAGCTGTTTGGTTTTAATAGCTACAAGTTGGGTTGAAACCAAACTTTTCGACTCCAATGAAGCAGTGTATGAAAGATTATCGGAATATGATAAAGCCTCAGTAGAAGTGTTTGATCCCAAAATAATAGATCTGCTAGGCATCTCT